CCTCTCCTGTTGCTCCTTGTCATTCAGACACAGGGCCTCTCCTGTTGCTCCTTGTCATTCAGACACAGGGCCTCTCCTGTTGCTCCTTGTCATTCATTATGTCATATGCCACATTTCAGGGTTTGTTGACATTTTCTCCAAGACAAAGGACCGCCTTGGATCGCATGCCTCTAAGATACTGAAGTTCCTGCACCGGAACAGGATTCCCAGCAGTGCCATCCCATTCCCTGTTTTGGAGGGCTATAGCAGCCTCTGCGCCATGAGGTCTTCTGTCGTACAGAGCTACTTGGACTTCCTGCTGCAGAAAGAGAAGGGTATGGAATCGCTAACCCTAAATGTACTTTCATAGTATAAAATGGCCACAGTAACTCAGGGTGACCTTAGTGTGTACTTAAATATTCGCCTTTTCCCTGCCAATTCAGCATCTGATATAATAAGCTGGTAGAAGCACGTGTTTGTTTTTCAGACTGCTTCTGTCTGTTCTTCCACGTCTTATGGTGAGTGGGCTTGCATCCTCCCTCTCTCCTTCCCTCTCTGCAGATTTAGACATCCAGTACCAAGCAGAGCAGAATCATGACCCTGATACGGACAAGGTCAAAATCATCAACCCGTGTTACAGCTTCATTGAGGCGTCGTCCAACACAGCAGACATCTACAAGATGACAAACGGGGAAACTGTGTCCTTCTGGCAGTCGGATGGGAGCGCCCGGTCGCACTGGATAAGGCAAGGCTGCGTTAACTGAATAATTAACTGGTTAATTATTGACACTTTGGGTCTGTGACACGCAGGTCTGAAAGCTGGGATGGTAATGGGCATGTCTGATATACCTGCATATTTCTGTCAATGTTTCTTTAGGTTAAAGATGAAGCCCGGCGTGGTATTAAGGCGGCTGGCCATTGCAGTGGCCTCCAACGACCACAGCTACATGCCCCAGCTGGTGTCCGTGGCCGTGGGGAACAGCCGACTGTGCCTGCAGGAGGTCCGGGAGATCCGCATCCCCAGCAATGTCACGGGCTATGTTGCCCTACTGGAGAATGCCAACATTACACAGACCTGTAAGTCCTGCTGCTCCTCTTCTCCCTCCAGCTGTGACACCAAGCTTCTCCTGTATGTGTTCCTCTGGGTCTCCCTCGGTTACATGTTGGATGTTGTGTACATTCCTGCTAATCTCACTCCACTGCATGCTGAACTTTGTATTGCATTCCTTTTGACCTCATTTAGAGATTTAGAGATGCACAATGTATCAGTTAACATATCAGTATCAGCTGATGTTCGTTAAAAATCAAGACCTAAACGTTGGCTTCAATGTGTCATTCACGGTCGATATTGCCAGCCAATATTTAAACTATAGTCATCATTCAAAGTGAGCACACCACAACTGAAGAGCCAACTACTGAAATAATGGGGATGATCACATTGGATTCATTTTCCATAGTGGCAGATCAATTACTTCATCGGCGTATTCAGCGGTAATAGTTTTGCTGCAGTCTCCAATGTTAGCAGTACTTCGCTGATCCTTCACTGTCGGCGTTCTATGATGTGGTTGCCCGACTCTGCTGTAATGTTCCCAACCTCCGCTGCAGATGTCCAGATCAACATCAAACGTTGCCTGAGTGACGGCTGCGACACGCGCATTCACGGTCTGAAGACCATGGGCTACCAGGTCGTCAAGAGCACCGAGGTCTCTGTTTCGGACGCCTCTGCCATCTGGTATCTGTCGCTGCTGACCTCCCTGGTGACGGCGTCCATGGAGAGCAACCCGGCGTTGGCTCAGACGGTCCTCCACAGCACACAGTGAGCCACACCCGCTGCCAGCAGCGTCCCTTTCCATGAATGTGCACCCTGTGGTCATGGAGTAGTCATGTCTCTCATTTTAATTATTGTACAGCATTCATTTTGTTAGTCAAAGTTCCCGAAATGCTAAATTTCTAGTGATTATTTCTTGAGGTTATGAGGGTCTGATGATTGTCAGGTGCTTGCTGGGTTTCGTTGCTAAGCCTCCTATGGCCCTCCTCCTGATGTCAGCTGATTGATTCCCCTTCCTTCCTCCAGGAAAGCCTTGCAGCACATGCCACCTCTGTCCTTAACTCCCAGCTCCACCGAATTCCCAAAGTTCTTCTCCCCCAACATCATGGAGGAAGTGGACGCCTTTCTCCTCAGAATAGCCGAGTAATAATAAGTATTACTACTTACATGACTGGCAGGTGTTTGTTGAACAGTCAGTGGGAGACCAAGCAGGTTTATTCTAGATTGCGCGCTCTGTACATACAACTGAAGAACAGACCATAGTCAAAAACCTATTCTGTCAACAAGAGTAATGTTAGGACTTCAGCATGCGGACATTCAGATAACATTCTATACTTCTTGGCTTGCTGCAGTATCAGTTCCACATCAGTAGATGTTTGTTGTACTGGTTAGTAAATTGAATGAACTGTAACATAGTTGTGTCTGTGTCTGTCAGTTGCTGTGTGAGTCCTGAGGCGGAGCTGACCCTGCTGGCCTTTGCCCTGGCTAGGGGTAGTTTGGCCAAGATCATCATGTTCCTGTCCAGCATTAGTGACCACTTGGACAGACAGTACAAGGCATCCTCTCTGATCTCCTCCATGGCTGTCGTCAGACTCAAGCTCCTCTACAAGAATGGTAGTAGTGCCCTTTGACCATTTGACCGCGAATGCCTTAGCTCAGGGGTGGCCAATCTTATCCGCAAAGGGCCGGTGTGTACGCGGGTTTTCGCTGCAACTCCCTAATTAGATTACTAATTAGTGGACTGATTGGCTGAAGAGTCCTCACACCTAGGTTTGAACAGCTGACCTACAGGTTATCCCAGAAACCTGCATACACACCGGCCCTTTGCGGATAAGGTTGGCCACCCCTAGCTTAACTAAAGCAAAGATGCCCTTTGACCTTAAGATGTCCAGGGTGCCTTTCATGCATTTCAAGGCACGCTGAGGTTAAATTCTGGGGCTCTTGATAACAGTGCCTAATGCTTGTATTTTTATTTTGATTTCTGTTATCGAGTCAGTCAGGTGCTTCTGATGGAAACTGCCAGAATGGGGCCAACTTGCAATATGCGGTTCTGAAAACGAACAGGCTGTTGACAGTCTTCTGCCTTTTTGTCTGTCAGGGAAGCCCCTCCGCCTCAGTCTCCAAGCTTGTGATGTGAAGGGCAAAGAAGACAAGTCAGGCCCAGAGAACATGCTCGTGGAAGCCTCGACGGGGGACGGTGCGCTCTACTGTCCACTTTGTCTTCCATCCTTCCCTCCTTCTGTCCACCCATTGTTGGCCTTCCTAACACTTATCCAGTGTTGGGTCTGGGGCAGCACAAGGCCCAAGGCTCTGACATTTTATCTGACATATTGTCTAACAGCTAAATGAAAGCAAATGTCTTGCACGTTGCATGAAATTTATAGCTTATTAAGTTTAGATTCTACCTCAACTAGAAAAAGCACCCTATAGAAATGGGGTGCTTGGTCCCTGAACCTGCTGCGGTGCTTATCAGAGGACCAGAGTCTGCCGATTCTGCAAATGTTCCTGCTTCGCTTTGAGTCTGACTTGTGTTCATGTCCAGTGCTGTGACATTCCCCTCCCACTGCGCCTTTCCCAGGGTTCCTAACGGAAACCGGGAAGAAAAAAGCCGCCATCATTCTGTCGACTGCAGACCAAACCTCCTTTCAGGTCACACAGATAAAGATCAGGGTGAGTCGAGGCTCTTTGATATGCATCCTCATCTTTGCCAGTGTTTGGGATGAAAGCTGAAAAGACGGATGTACTGATGTCTCCCGTTAAATTTCACGCCATTCCCGGGTCGATTTCCTAGGTGCGTAAAGGAGCCATCGGTGCCAAATTCGGGCTGGTGTTCGCCTACAATGAGGCTGACACCTTCAACGCAGAGGAACACTTCAAGCGGTTCAAGAACTATGACACCTGGGCCTTCAAGGACTTCAGGCAGTTCCTGAAAGAAAGGTAGGACAAGGCCATTTACTGTTATTTGGGTCTTTGTCCTCAAACGTTTCACCCTTAAATGGCAAGTAGCTTCCAGCCTCTGTGCCAATAAACTGGCCCTGAATCTGCTGCTTTCTGATCCCACAGCAGCAAGAACACGAAGCTCACAGAGGACGAGCCGGTTGGTTGGTTTGAGCTGGAGGATGACTGGAACGACACTGAGATCAAGCTGCAGCAGTGTCGGGTTGTGCAGGTGCGGCCCGGCCTGAGAGGATTGCTCGGTGTCAGGATCCATAAATGCTACCTGCAGTCAGATTCCCAGGCGTGCCACTGACCCCCAGGCTTGCATATCCTGCATGGACACACATTGGACTGGGCTTCATGGAAAAATAATATACAGTATTTTAGTTATAAATACATATTTATAAATAATATAAATATTTTGATAATTTAATTTTAATTGATACTTTTATTGATCCCCGTGGGGAAATGGTTTTTTACACCTCCCTCAACTTGCTCTTTTGTAGAGTAAACTGTCTGCGATAAATGGTAATATTAGAGACCGCTGTGGACCGGTATTATTGGCCAGTGGGACATGGATTCAGATTGTGATTGGCTGGTTGGAAGTTGGCCGACTAGTCATTTGGTTGTCAGGTAGCCGTGACGCTCCAGTATTGGCAAAATATGGCATATGGGCGTTGTAGTTCTTAAAGGGACAGCTCACTGAGGTGAATAGCTGGAGATGTACTTGATATGCAGACTGACATTAGCAAAATTAGGTCGGTAAGCTAAATTTAACATGGGTATCAGTAAATTGTCACGCAGCCATAGTATGAAGCAAATTCAGGGAAACTGAAAATGTTATGCATAGAAATAAAAAAATAGGCAGTCTGCACACCACCAAGTTTTTAATCCTAATAGACTAGCCTAATTCATCTAAAAAATTGTGAATGGTTCATTATTTTTATCTCAACTTTTGGCCGCATCCTGTGAAGACTGCTCCCTCCCATGAATGAAAGGAGCTGCAGTGCAGAAGCTCATAGCTAGGCTATCAAGGTGGTTGGCAGTTAATTATGGTAAGCGCTGGTCTTGCACGGCCATCCGCATCAACTGGGAAGCTGTTTTGCCTGCTGACTGAAAGATAAGTTTGCGATATGGCTGTCAGACTTCCCATCTTAAAGGATGGTGAACGGACTTCTACTGCACCAGGCAGCGGTTGGGAGTAACAGCTGCCCAGGTCAGAAATGTCGGCTCGAAGGCTGAACCGAAAGCGGAATCCTCTTCTGTTATCTTGGTTTGTGTGTAGCCTGCTTCCCTGACAATGGTGACAATCGCCATTTAGTCAAATATCAACACAGGGTTGCTTCTGATAATTTCAGTTACAGATGATATCGTCACATCACCCAGCACTATAGTACAGTGAAAAAATAGTATTGTGCAGTAATAGTATTGTACCTTGCGTTGTACAGTGATAAATAATATTGTGCAGCATGTTGTACAATGATAGTATTGCACCATGGGACATTCAGTAATGAAAAATATTGCACAGTGGGTTGTACAGTGGTAGCATTGCTCAATGAATTGTATTGTGATAAAGGGCATTGTACCATGGGTTCTACAGTGATTAAATAGTATTGCACCATGACTCTTATAGTGATAAATAGTATTACACAAAGGCAGCATTGGAAAATGAATGGAGCCAAAGGCTAGTGGGCAGGCTAACATGTCTTACCATCGTGCTGAAAGTCAATTTCAAAATGTCCCTAGAAAACCTTTTTTTGAGGAAAAAAAAAAAGCTACTGGCGGAGGCCAATTTTATTTTTTAATAAAGGTGTTCATGCAAAAACAAAAACAACTTTTACTGTTGCCTAGGGCTGACTGGTATATTGAATGCATCGGAATATTTTCAGAACGAGTAATAGGGGTGTTACAACATTGTTTTCAAGGTTTAGTTCAAGTTCAGGGTTACTTTGTCATCAGCAGGTTCATACATGTACAAAGAGTGATGAAATAACGTTTCTTCATGGCCCCAGTGCAACATATAGTGCACTTAACATTACAGTAACAGGGCGTGCAAGGTGCAAACAGGCAGTAAATAAATAGCACACACAGAGATAAGTAGTGCAGAGATGTAAACTTCGTAAGTAAAGTGCAGTTGCAGTTTAGAGGTAGTTTGTACATGCAGTTTAGAGGAATTTGAAGAGAGTCAGTCCAGATATTAGTGTGTTCAGAGTTCTGGCAGCTTGTGGTATGAAGCCGTTTCATAGCCTGGTAGAAGCGGAGCGGAAGCTTCGATACCGTTTATCGGTATACCGTTTTATATCGATATACCTTTTATTGTGTTTTAAAGTTAGGACTCTATTAAAGATTTTTAATGGAAATCAGTAGTATTCCTTCCCAGTTGTGTAAAAAAAAAAAAAAAAAACATGAGCTTTGATCCTTACATTGCACAGACTCTCAGAATTCACTAAAATCAAATCATTCACTAATAGACATGTGATAAATGATTCTTTGTGATTCTATTAATTTCATTCAGTATACAAAATGATTAGAATCTTTGAATCACTGATTTGTTCACTTCAAAAACAGTTGTAGCTTGTTAAAGCTAGAATAGTGTCAACACTAACAACTTTAGCCACCAAACAATATAAACAGCATGCAACAAAATGAACTATTAGCATATGCTAAAAACGTAGGCTAACACAGTTCATTGTTCGTTATAATTGTATGTTTATAAATGTCGCTGCATAGAAATACTAATTCCGGTAAATGGTGCTCTACTGCGTGATTCAGTCAGTGAACTGAGACTGTCATAGTTGTACAGTCAGAGTGAACCAATCAGTGAAGGTGCTTGGTGTCTTTTTGTAATTAACAATATTTATTTTGCTGAAGGGTAATATCTTGGAGGATCTTACAGGTTACGAAGCGCACTTTCAGTGGCCGTCAGGCTTCTGATTTTAGAGCCATTTGCCAGATTTTAGCATGAACTTTCTGTTTTAAGAGCAGTGTCATAACTGGCGTAAAAAACAGTCTGGTGGAGTGAAACAGTTTTATGTCGTAGCTGCTTTGTTGGACCCATGAAACACAGATAGAGGCGGTTTGTCTTTGCCTTTATTTCTGCGCACCCAATTTGCATGCAGCTGTATTTGCATCCCCCCTGGCTGACTCACCCCTCCCCTCCCTGCTTTTTCCCCCAGTACCTGATGGTGAAGTTCCTGGGCACCAGGCAGGAGTCAGCTGAGCGGCTGGGCGTGCAGCACCTCTCCGCCAGCGGCTACCTGTGCCCTGGGGCCGAGCGCCTGCAGCTGGAGCAGCTCGGCCAGCCAGAGGATGGCGCTGATGGAGGCCCCACCACGGCCCTCTGCCTGCTCAATAAGACCCTCTACTTCATCCAGCAGCTCACCCAGGACATCTGCCCCGCCAGCGCCCCGCGGCTGCCCCCGTTCCCTTCGGTGAGGTGGGGGGGGGGATCGATCGGTTTGTCTGTGCTGCCTGTAGCCCCTCGTACCCTGACCCCAGGCCGCTCTCCCCGCCCAGGCCCTTCAGGACACCTCCCACTCCAAGAGCGCATGTCTGTTGGACTTCAGCGGCCTCAGCCTGCCACTCTTCTGGGATTTTTACCGCAAACTCATGAATCAGTAGGTGCCCTGATAAAGGCCTGTTTTGCTTGTGGCTGTGGTCCTGCGGAGTAACACATGTCCTTTTCCATGTCACCCTACTGACCTACTTCTTGTTTATCTAGCTAAGGCCGGTAATTTAATTTCTTTTACTGGATGACATCCTCTAAATAATTTTTCCTGTGACCTGTCTGTCATATCATAAGATGAAACCACGTTTTTTTCCTCTGTTCTGCTCCCCTGCTGCCCTGTTCCCTTTCGGCTGTGTTTGACGGTTCGTACTTTGCCATATGTCTCCAGTGGCGGAAGCGAGGCAGTGAAGACCAGGGTCCTGCTGCTCCAGCTGCTGCAGAACTGCTTCCCCGTTCTGCGCACCCCAACAGAGAGGTGCGGGACAGCCGGCAGTGACCATGCTGACCTGGAGGAGGCAGTGCGGGGCCTCTACAGCCACCTATGCGAGGGTGAGAACCTTTGCCGTAGAGTTCAAAGGGCTGATCGGCAGACAGACGCTGGGTCGCTGGGTCTGGGCCGTGCCACTTGGGCAAAACACAGATCTGCATTGATGGCTTCACTGGAGTAATTAATTGGGTTCTACATCCCTCACCTGTTGCAGCTGTCATTCAAACACAAATGCAATTAACAGAACATGCTGGAACAATCCCTTTCACTTTTGTTGCCCATGTCCATCCATGCCTGCTCCTATATAGGTGGTTAGCAATCATATGAGAGTAGCTTGGGTTGGTTAGCGAATCTGCCTGAACGGTGCCTCTGTGACTGTCTGGAGCAGTGGTGGACAGCCCCGAGGGGGGGGCACCCATCGACCAGATGCTGAGGAAGGAGGCGCTGAAGGCCATCCTGGATGGGGCGGCAATTTTCTTCCCTGACAAACAGAGCAGGAGAGACAAGCTGTTCAGCATGATGGTGAGACACGTTAGCCCGCCCACTGGCCGTTCCTGCTCTGCCAGGTACCACGCAGGGCCTACAGATGTTTCATTTTCTCCTCCCCTGTTGTGCTACCAGAAAAACATCTCTGCTGAGGATCAGCCTGAATCCCTGAAGCTGACCTTCGAGTCTCTCTGTAACTACTTCAGGTAAGTGGCAAGGAACCTACCCCTGCCCCTGACCCGTCCCGCCCCCTCCTGCCGTCACTCTCATGCTGAGCTCCCCTGCTTGCTGCTGTTGATCGTGACGCGTCTCTTCCGGCAGCCATCAGGATCCCCGGGGCCTGCTGCTGCTTCCCCTCAAGGGGGCACCCATGGACCATGACGTCTCCCCCGTTCTGAATGTGATGGACACGCTTCTGCTAGTGGCTACACGTGAAGTGAGCTGCTTGGGTGCTTCTTACTTGTTAAACAGTTGTCATTTCTTGTATTTTTTTTGTTTACAAGTTTGTGTCTTCGTAACAGAAGTATGGTTTAGTGTGTGATGGTGCCCTGTGATGGACTGGTATCCCGTCCAGGGTGTCCCTTGCCCTGTGCTTACAAGTATAGACTCCAGCCTCACTGCACTCCTGTTGTGGATGGATGGATGGATGGATGCTCTTCCTCTCTCCCCCCAGTGTGAGGCACTGATGGTTGCCGGCAGTGGCGGTCAGAGCCGGAAGGTGCTGCTGTCGCTCTTCTGGGCCCTTCAGGGAAGCCTGCTTTCCTGGGTCTACCTCCAGCTGAAAGCAGGGCCCACAACCCTGTGCCACTTGGCCAGGGACATCCTCCTGCGATGTGAGCAGATCGGCCCCTCCCCAGCCCCCTGTCCACCTCTGGGGAGCTTCCTGCATTGACCCGTCCTGCTCTCTCTCCTAGATGTGGACCGGTTCCTCTCGGGCGTCCAGGGTATCATGACCTCTCTGCTGGAGAAGTACACCGGAGCGGAGATCATGGAAAAGCTGAGCCCCTCTATCCTAGCCATGGTTACTAGGCAACTGGTACTCAACACACAACTATTATTTTATTTTGGATAGTGCTGCCCTCTAGTGGTCGCAGTATCACAAGTTTTCAAGTACTAAATTTTAAGCTGTAGATAAGGGTTATTTCCACATGTAGGGTGTGCTGCAGCATAACTTGGTCATATTTGCTCTTCTAGATCATCTTCCTTCTGGAACTCTCTTCCCTGGATGTCCCTCATTTGATCCTGCTGAAAAACTTCACAGCCTTGATCGAGCTCCTGAAGAAAATGTACAGCGATAAGGATGAGGATGATGCTCTTTCCAAAGTACGCCGTCCTGCACTCTGCTATTCATACTCCAGTACCTCTCTGTTTGTCAGTCTGTTTTTCCATGTGTTTGCATAATACAATGGCGTCCATATTGAGTTTATTTGAATACAGGCAGCTCCTGACTTTCGTAAGACTGACATTCGTAAATCCAGACTTGCACAAAAATATTCGAGATACATTTTACAGAAGCGTAAACGTAAAATGGTGACATGCCTACATATGGTGACAAATTGGTGCTACGTATTTTTTATTTGTTTAATATGTATTATCCTTTAGTATGTATCGCTAGTATATTTTTAGCTTATGTGTTTTTTGTTGCAAGGTGTTTTGTATGATGTGGGGGGGTCAGTCTGAGTTTTTCCGGCTTACGGGGCACTTGTAGTGGGGCACTTACGCCAGTGGAGATCTGCCTGAGGAGCCCCGCGATCCCAGCTGTTGGTCTCTGTGAGAGTCAGGTGCACTAGGGCCTCTTGTGCACGTGTTCCTCTGCCGTATCCCCAGGAGCCCGTGGTGCTGAGGACCTGGAGCATGGAGTCGGCCCACAGCTACGAGAGCAGCCGGCACGAGACCACCATCTTCAAGTGCCCCGGGGCCACGTCCTTCGAGGTGGAGTTCGACGAGAGATGCGAGACTGAGAAAAGGTACGGGGGCCTTTAGCGGTCATCAGTGATATTTTCACCACCACCACCCCCCCCCAAATTGTACTGGGTCTTTAATATTGCATAGTTTCTGATAAGTCATCAGAATCTCTTGTGTGTGGAATCACTTGTTTGGGGCAGTGGGTGCAGTGAGGCTAAGTGGGTTAGGACCGTGCCCGTGATAAGAAAGTTGCTGGTTCAAATCCCTGGGTCACCATAGTGATGTCACTGTTGGGCCCCTGAGCGAGGCCCTTAACCCCTGACTGACACTCAGAATTGTATGTCGCTTTGGATAAACATGCTGTTCCAAGTCATGCCTTCTTAAATAACTCTTAATTTCTTTTACGTCTTATGTTATCTGTAAGTAAGTTAAAAAAAATAAAAAAAAAACCTGTTAATTTGCTTGGGGGGGGGGGGGGGTTGTTTGTGGAGATGGATATCATTCTGACTTACTGCCCCCATCCCTGTCGAGCTTCTGGTGGACGCCCACATATTTCACATTCTTTCTTCAACTCGCCTTGTGTCTTTGGAACCCCAATAGATACGATTACCTGGAATTCACAGATGCCAGAGGCGGAAAGGTTTGTTACGGCTTGAAGGTCGGCACGGATAAGTGGCCCAAGGTAAGAGCAATTTTTACCATCAGTCAAACCACGCATTTATGTGGGGCCGCTGAGGTTTTGGGTGCCCCCTGTTGGCCACGAACTGTCACTGCCCTGGGGCAGGAAGGTTTGGGGACCCAAGGTGACTTTGACTGGGGCCCCATAAATGACCAGCCAGCCCCTGGGTTTGGCCTGCAGAGGTTCTCATCTTCATCCCTGCTTCCTTGACACCCGAGTACATTCTTGCCGCCCTCAGAAAGTGAATTTCCGAGGTGGTCCGCAGCTGCAGTTCCTCTTCCACTCCGAGAACAACAACAATGGCTGGGGCTACAAGTTCTCCGTTGTGGCCTACGGGCTGCCTGACATTTCTGTGTCCTGGGTCTCCGACCTGCTGCTGCTCACGGCCCGGCTGTTGGGGCGCCTGGCCTCGCGGACCATGACTCTGAAGTCACCCCAGGGTGAGCACCCCGCCGGGTCCTGGTCCGAGTGGCGGAAGGTGGCATGTGCACTTGTCCATGATAATAGATCTGTCACCTGAGGAAAAGATGTGTAAGGGGCTTCTGTGTCGTTTGGCAGAAACTGGGAGTGCAAAAGATCTCCCGGCGGGAAAGATGAATCACATCCTTGCCTCTGCACTGTGGAAACCCATGTTCAAGCAGGGGCTTGAAGGAGAGCAGCACACTCAGGGTGAAAGTGAGGTAACGTGGCTCTGGGGTGGAGACCCTGCAAGACCGAAGCAGTGCTTCTCCCCCGCTAGGAGAAGCCTCGCTACCTGCGTGTGGAAAGGAAATGAATGATTCAACTACATGAAAATTAGTGGTGTGTAGCTCAGCTGGTTAGCTTACTGTGCCCATGATAAGACGGTCACCAGGTCAGATCCCAGGGTCAGCAGAGTAATTTTACTCCCTTGAGCAAGGCCATTAAACTTAAGTGTTACAAGATTGTCTGAGTATTTTGGTAAAATGAATAAATAATTTCAAATGCAGTTCAAGTTATTTATTCAGTTTAAATTACTTAAGTACTGTGTTTTATTGGATGTTTAATTGTCTGGTTTCCACGTGCCATTCAGGTGAACGCTCGTCCCTCTGACGAACTCGTCAAGTTCCTTGTCGACTTCGCCAGCTGGGAACCGTCCGAAGACGCCTCGGATAGTGGGCCGGAGATGATGAAAGCACTCATGCTGGCCTGTAGGAAGCAAGCTGCCAGAAACGATGTGGTCACGGGTTCGAAGGTTGACCAGGCCGTTAACGCTATCTGGGCTTGCATGGTTTACCACACCCCGGTCCTACACCGCAGTCTGCGGAACTATGGTAATAAATCAATTCATTTCTGCCTGTTTACACCACTAACCTGGAAGATCAGTTTAAGTCCAAGGGGGGGGGGGGGGTGTGCTAACAAACTGTCCATCAAAGCCAATCTAAATGTTGCCTTTCTGTTACTGAAGTGGCCCAGGGTGGGAAGTCCAGCTTCTCTGAGGACTTCGTTCATGTGTACAGCTTTGCGGAGGGCATCCGCACCTGGATGGTGAGTGTGCTTAGCAGGCTCCGTCTGCACGTCCTGGGGGGGCCGCTGATGTCTCATGGAAACATTCCCGCTTGAGGATCTGTTTCTGTAGCTGTCTTATATGCTGCCAGGATGAGCAGCTGACGATCGATGTTCGGTTTTATTTTTGCTCTGCAGCTTGAGATGAAACAGAGATACCTGATGGGAGCAGTGAATCCGTCGGAGGAAAATGAGGAGGACGTCCAGGAAGTGAGCACGGAGGTGCAGGGTACGCTCCCGCCTGCCAGCCGGGTGCTTCACTGCCCCGCCTTTCCCTTTCTCTTCGGTCTCTGTGATCCCGTGGCCACATCCCCTCATTCTCCAAACCGCTTGTCTCGTCTCCCAGCGGATGCCTGCATTGCCAAAAGCCTGCTCCTGCTCAAGTTCGCCCCCTGCTGGGCTCCGGCAGCAGATGACGGCCCCCTCAGGAATGAAGCCTATCCGCTGCTCAGATCCACCTCTGTATCTGAGAGTGACTTCCAGGGCAGCCCGACGTCCGGGCTCCAGGCTAGTGGGAGCGAAGCTGGAGCAGACGCCCCCTCAAAGGGTCACGTTCCGGTGGTCCAGACCTCTGGCGGTTCCGACCCCGGATCTCCGGGCAGTTTTACCGGGAGCCCCCACCGAGGCTCCACTGAGAGTCTGACCTCTCTGCCTGGAGAACCGGCCTCCCCCTTCAGCCTGCACCGCAAAGCGCCGTTCAGCAGGGGCCGCATACGGCTGCTTTCCTTCAGGTCTGTCGAGGAGTCCCGCCCTCCCTTGTCCGTCAAGGACAGGTTCCCCATCCTCAAGGATATCATGAACTTCCTGAAGGACCAGACCATCTCCGACGCCAGGTGTGCCATCCGGCTCTGGGCGTCGCAATCATATCGCCCTCCATATAATCTGGAAAAAAATACTTAACTTTAATCGGCAGGCTGTCCCGAATGCTCCGCCATATGCAGTGTGTGGCTGCAGGGCTGTTGATAGTCGTCGTATAATTTTGCATCAAGACAGAGGGTCTTTTACACTCTAAGGCTGATGCCTGTTTTTTGTGTCTTTGACTGCTAAGCTCGTTAGCGTATGTGTGATGGTGAGGTCTGGCACGTAGCACATGCATAAAGAGCGCTGGCTGCTGATCTGTGCATGCATATGCAGCGTCCTGCAGCTCCTGTCCTTGAAGAAGGCCCAGGCCCTCAGCGTGAGCGAGGTGCTGCGGACCGTGCGCCGGTGCCTGTGTTCCCTGGGTGAGCCGCACCTCTTCCAGGCCTCCTGCATCCTCTTCCTCCAGGAGCTTCTGGCCTTCCAGAAGGACTTCACCAGGTGGGGGCTGGAACGGAAAGCTTTCCGCTTCCCGCTGACAGCGACCGTAGCCCGTCGCCGTGTGGTTTTAGCTGCATTTGTTCATAATCTCTGCATATTCTCTGTAGTCGAACTGGAAAAATGACACATTATCCTGCATTTGTAGTTTTGTATTTTGCAGCCTGTCCAACTAACTGTCTTTGAAAGAAAATGTGTGTTTTGACACATCAAGATAGTAAAAGATATTGATTAAAACTGTACTCAAGAATGGATTAATAAAGAGTTGAGGCGAGAAAGCTGTTGGCACCATATAATCTTGCAGTCTTAATCTGACATCGATCTGTTTGAGGAACGTCAGGCCTGAACTTCAGGAGGCCCCACGGTCCTCACCATCACCTGTTTAATTGTTGTCGTGTTTTTCTGCAGTTACTTCACCCAGCTGTCTGGCAGCGGGCAGGAGGTGCAAGATGAAGTCCGCCAGTCATACCACCAGCTGGTGCAGATGCTGGTGGATGCCGTCCAGAACTTTGATTCCATCGGCGATAAGTAAGGGTCCTTTGATTGTAGCGACAGGATGCTGGCCCGTTTTAGTGGCTTTTTTAATGGTCCATATCCCTTGTCTCTCACAGGGCTCTGCTTCCTGCCCTCTCCTGCGTGCAGACCTGCCTTCTCCACCTTCTCGACATGAGCTGGGAAGTGCAGGACCTCCCGCTCTTTCTCGACATCAAACTGCCGGATCTCCTGCTTTCCATGGCCCAGGAGAACATCAGCGTCCATGATATTGCTATAAGGTAGAAGGAACTGGGGGGGAGAAAAGACAAACATTTTTAGGCAAGAGGTAGACAAATGAACAAGAAGGTAAATCCATGTTTATCTTTATTTTAAATTGCTTATAGTTCCTCGATTAACCCAGTCACTGTTAGTACCATAGACTGTTCCTGGGGTCTCTTCTGGGGTACAGAGCAGCTACCTTCAGGTTTATAAAGGTCCATTTGTGGTGCCCCCTATGGTGGCAGGTTTGGGATGATAAATGGCCACCATTTTTTATTCTGGGCCTTTTAGCCAATGGAGCGAGGAGGACGAGGTAGCCGACTACCTGAGGAACTGCGAGTGGATGGAGGAGTGTCAGGATGGGATGTTTGAGAAGTGGTACGACAAAATTGTCCAGGGCTCCCCGGAGGAGCGGAGGAAGGTGAGGTTGGCATGCCTGTGCGGCGCTATGCCTCTCTGATGAAGACCAGTGTTTTAAGTTGATCTTGGATTACCATTAAGGAGAGTCAACTTTAAGGTCTTCATAACACTTGACCATAACATGCTTGGAATGGCTGATAATCTTTTGGGCTTTCCCAGGAGATCTCACTTAAAAAAAATTATATAGGGATCAGAGTGCCTGTTGAGAAATCGGCCATCTGTACATCCAAGTTTACATAGAACCATATTTGCTCCAGCCAAGCAAATGTTTGCTGACAGGCGGTGCTGGTAATAATCCCAGGAGCCCTATGAATGCACCTGCCGGGTCTGTGTCAGCCTTTGCTTGAAATTAAATATTTACTCTTCCCTACATGTGAGTCTTCAAATGGAGCTTAACCCTATAATGAGAGACACCTTCAACCAACTTGACGTTTGACCTGTGAGCACCTATTAGCCACACTACTGTTTATACTGTCAGCCTCCTGCCCAACCTTTTTACAAGGGAGATCCACCAAGTCAGGCAAATAGTAGCAATAGACCTGGTGCTGTCTGCCGTCTGCCTCCAGCGACTTGACCAGGGTGCCCACTGATTTCTCCGCAGATGCACATGTTCATCGCACGGTACTGCGACCTGCTAAATGTGGAGATCTCTTGCGACGGCTGCGAGCGCATCGCACCCTGGCACCGCTACCGCTGCCTGCAGTGCACTGACATGGACCTCTGCAAGACCTGCTTCCTCAGTAAGCCCCACCTCCCCACCCCCCATGGTACTGAGTTCCTGTAACCGCAGAGAATCCTGGGTAAATCTCCAGTGGTTTGGTGGTCTCTTGGGATGTCTGGAAGGCTTTGACGTCTTGGTAAGCCTTAGGCACTGGTGAGACGTTTGGTAACGTAGAACTGCATGGTCGTGGTCAGGCTTGGGGAGACTTTTTTTTGAACCGTTGCTGTTTGCTGGTAGGTGGAGCCAAGCCCGAGGGCCACGAGGACGACCATGAGATGGTGAACATGGAATACGCCTGCGACCACTGCCAAGGGCTGATCGTGGGCAGCCGGATCAACTGCAACGTGTGCGAGGACTTCGACCTGTGCTTCGGCTGCTACAACGCTAAGCGCTACCCCGACAGGTGAGCAGGGCAGGGCTCCGCCTTGTCTTCAGGACTCCTGGGAACGTGCCTGTTTTACCTCTGCGTCTCCCCCAGCCACCTGCCGACGCACCGCATCACAGTGTACCCAATGGTGACCATCCGGATCAGCGACCGCCATCGTCTGATCCAGCCCTACATCCACAATTACGCCTGGCTGCTGTTTTGTGCGCTGGCGCTCTACGCCTCCGACTTGACGAGCGAGCGTGAGCTGGAGGGTGAGGCCCTGGCGGTCGGGGCCCTGAGCAGCGCTGCCACCCTGCAAGCCCGCTGCTCGGAGCTCATCGCCGACTGTCTGCTCAAGGGTCAAAAGGGCAGAGGTCAGTCATTTCCGTAACTGGCAGGCTTCACCTTGGCAACTTTGGCTGCCTTCACCATGTAACACAGCAGAATTCATTCTAGGGTGCAATTTTGGTGAAACCCCCCTCCCCCCACAGGTCTGCGTACCTCTGCACTCATGTCCCTGCTGTCGTCGGGTGAGTCGGCCTCAGAGAGTGAGCCGGAGTCCGGCCAGGACCCCCTGCCAGGTGGCACTGCCACAGTCTGCTCACCGCCGCCCCCTAGGGACAAGGTGACCAGCTGCAGCGTCGTCCGCCCTCCATCAGATGACGCAGGCCGATCTGTGCCTCGGCATGGGGGTCTTTATAAATAGACGGCGGATATGTGCCAACGTGCTAGCCGGAGCTTTCTGGAATAATTAAGAGCGAAGCGCGCAGCAGGCTGACTGGGCTGTCTGTGCCCTGAATGATGACGGCAGGCAGTGCTTAAGAATGTCCTCCATCTTTCTGACAACATGTGTGCTAATGTGTAGTTTATCCTTTATATGACCTGGTCATGATGTGGAATGAAGGTAAACCTTTTTTTGGGTAATTGTTTAACATGCCGCTCCTCCCTGCAGCACAAAGGCGGGCCCAGTGATGGGCAACCAGCGTCCCATCTCCCGCTGGCCTCGGGGGTTCCCACAGGAGATGAGGGGGGGCAGCAGCGTGACATCAGTGGCCTCAGCCAGACGTGCTCTGATGGCACCCTGACTCCTGGTGAAGGTACCCAGGCTCTTACAGAGCCCGCCTCTCATTCAGCGCTGCAGAGGCTCTGTGTCCCAGGACTGTTCCATGTCAGGCCTGATTTGAGCTATATCTCTGTCTGCCTCGCCAGCTACTGGGGCCGGCACGGATGCAAACCTCGACGTGCCACCCCCCGTGACACCGCTGGATGAGCGGGCCGCCAAGCAGCCCCTCCAAGAACATGTGTTTGCCGAGTGCTCCCGTGAGAGGATCCTGGGCCTGCTGGCGGCCATGTTGCCCCCTGGCAAGCCGGTGAGATGCCGCCCCCCTGACCGAGCCCTGTCACATCTCTATGATCCAGAGTAAAGTTCCTCCTTTGGGTGACTAGGGAAGGTTTAACTAATCATTTCTGCCCCCAGTCCCCGGGTTGTACCCTCCCTCTGCAGAGCCTCAGCTCCATCCTCCCCCTGCTCTTCCGCGTCGTCATCTCCAACGCCGGCTGCCTGAATGAGACATACCATCTGACGCTCGGCCTCTTGGGTCAGCTGCTGTTGCGCCTCTCGCCGGCGGCTGCTGACACTGCCGTTGCGGAGGCCCTGGCGGACAGGCAGGCGCTGCTGACCCCGGGGGACGGAGCCCCCGATGCACCAGGCTGGAGGACCACGCAGCTGCTCTTTAGCCTGGGTGCCGTGTGCTTAGACAGGTAGTCCTCCCTACTTTTTTGTATTTTTGTTGGGAGCCTCTTGAGGACATTAAGGTTTAGTCTCTCCTCATCCCTGTTGCAGCCGCATTGGCTTAGACTGGGCGTGCTTGGTGGCGGACATACTGCGGGACCTGAACAGCTCCCCCCAGTGGAGCAGTGTCATCGCAGCACTCACTGACCACTGCATCCAGCAGCTTCCCATCCAGCTGAAACGCTCAAACTTGTTCACCCTGCTGGTGCTGGTGGGATTCCCGGAGGTGCCTGTTCTCCTTGTCTGGCCATCATTTTTTTGGAGCGTGTTTATTCTTGTGGCTTTGGGCTTCCGCCAAGATCTTCTCCAACGCACTGCTGTCCCTCCAGGTGCTGTGCATGGGCTCCCACTCCACCTTCATGGACAACGCCAACGAGCAGCATGCCGTCATCCTGCTGAAGCACTTCACCGAGAAGAACCGCGCGGCTGTGGTGGACGTGAGGACCCGCAAGAGGAGGACTGGTGAGTCTCGCTTGACCGGGGGTAGGGGACGCGTTGCCCCTCCCCTGGTCCTCACACATGTCCCTGTTCCCCCTCAGTGAAGGACTACCAGCTGGTGCAGCCCCCTGATGGTCAGAGCGCCCCTGTGGGGCCCGTCCCCCTCGCCCGTTACTTGGAGCACTTCACGGCCATTTGCAGTCAACTCCTGCAGAGTGAACTGGAGGGCAGCGCTCCGGACGCTGTGGAGGCCACCTGGGTGCTGTCCCTGGGCCTCAAGGGGCTTTACACCAGCCTGAAGGTCAGCTCTGCACTTTCTTCCACATTTTACACCTTTTAGACCCAGTATTCCACCAGACCACAGAACACTGAGGATTTGGGGGATGAGTTGGTTAATTTCTGAAAATAACTCATAAACAGGTGTATATTCAAATCATACCTGTTTTTTCATGATCAATTCAATTCAATTTTATTTATATAGCGCATTATCACAACATTACATTGTCTCAATGCGCTTTAACCACCTACTGGCCTCCTACCAGTTCACAGGTTTTACCTCCAACGTGCACCCTTCCTCTCCGTCACCTAATTTGTGGTTGGTGTTTGGTTGATGGTCTCTCTGTGGCATGTCAACCCAAGCGGTCATGTTCCAAATTCTCTTGTGCAAGTTGGTTAATCACAGCAAGAATTTGGTCTATGTTCTCCCCTGTCGAGGTTATTTATATTTTGATGGCTCGTGGGCAACATTGGGGCCTCATACCAGTGTGATTCTGGGTTCTTTGGTCCCTGTCAGCATGGAGGTGACATCCTCGACACGTTCACATGGGTATCCCCGGGGTCACCGCGACTCGGCAGAGGGTTAAGGAGGATAGATGGGAGTGTTTATCGGTGCACGAGTCTGGAAGTCTTTTCTGCCCCTGCAGAGACATGGCGTGGAGATGGGCCAGGCTGCTATCCAGCAGTCAGGCCTGGTCCAGCTGCTGGTCAGGAAGTGCAGCAAAGGCACTGGCTTCAGCAAAATGTGGCTCCTGCGAGACCTGGAGATCCTCTCCATCATGCTGTACTCCTCCAAGAAGGAGATCAGCTCCATGGCTGAGGTCACTGATTCGGAGCCTTATGATCGCAAGCCAGAGAAGGAGCACGACTCGGATCATTCTAGCTGCTGTGCCGACGACCCGGACCCCAACAAGCCCGACCCACTTGAGGGCCTCGATGAGGAGACCAAGATCTGCTTCCAGGTGCGGCCTGCCATTGAGCTGGCCTCCCTGGGCTTGGATCCCTCAGGGTCACCTGTAACTAGCTGGGGGGATGCTGTCTCAGAGTCCTATGGCGTGTTTTCATTGTCCTGCTTTTTTGTGACAGATTACTCATGATGCTTTTAATGCCCCGCTGCATATCCTGCGGGCCATGTATGAGCTGCAGATGAAAAGAACAGACTCCTTCTTCTTGGAGGTTCAGAAGAGGTAGGTGGGAAAATGAACAGTGCAACTAATGTCTACCGTGTCTAATCCTTGAACGCAAGATTACCGTGTGATTGGCAACTGTGCCATCTTAGTTCACCAGCCCACCCCCTCTAACTAAAGAGAACCCTCCCCCAGGTTCGATGGTGACGTGATAAAGACGGATGAGACCATTTGCGCGCTGGCGCAGAAGTGGCAGCCGTCCAAGCGCCCGCGGGCGGAGGAGCGCAGTGCCAAGGCAGTGGACACAGACATGATCGTCGTGCCGTGTGTGGTACGTGTCTCTCACAGACCCCGGCTTCCCCATTAGCGTGTCTCGCATGGGGTTACACAAGCAGCATGGCAGCAGGAGTAGTGTTCATGAGGGAGGGTGGCTGGATCCAGTCCCAGAAGGGGACCTACTCTGGGTATTTCACCAGGTCTGCTCAGATTTCTGAAAGGTTGAAATATTCTTGGCAGTATAGAAAACAGAATGACATGATGGTTGGTGACCTTGATTATGATAATGGGATGTTAAGTAATGGTGACAATGGTGGTGACTGTGATGGTGGTGGTGACGGTGGTGGTGGTGATAATGGTGACTATGATGGTGGTGATAATGGTGACCATGATCATGATGGTGGTGATAATAGTGACTGTGATGATGATGGCAACAGGTAGCACAAAAGAGAATACACATGGTTTGTGGCTGTAAGTGTCCCATAAACAACTCTCCTGTAAGTAACGCCCTGCTCCTCCCTCCCTCTCTCGCCCCCTCGCCCACACATCCAGTCTAAACCAGGCCGCTGTGAGAGAGCCACGGAGGAGACCAACCTGGTGACACAGAAGCTCATCACCAACACGGAGGGCGAGCTGCAGCGGAGCTACGCCAAGCAGCGGCGCACCAAGAGCTCAGCGCTGCTGCGTAAGGAGCTGGATGCACGCAGCAACCGGGCCGTGCGCCAGTTCCTCTTCAAGGTGAACGAGGCCGTGGCCATCTTGTACGCCCGGCATACGCTGGGCCTGCTGCTGGCGGAATGGCCCGCTGGCGTGCCTGTCAGCGAAGACGTGCTGCAGCTCAGTGGCGCCTCCCACATGGTCTACATCCTGGACATGCTTATGCAGTTGGAGGAGAAGCAGCTATGGGAGAAGGTGGGACTCAGCAGACAGAGTGTGTAGTGGAATGGGGGTTTGGTGTGTGTGTGTGTGTGTGTGTGTGTGTGAGTGAGACTTAGGTCGGTCTAGCTTTTGGAGGGGTGTGTGAGACACTCAGAGTCAATCTAGCCCTCTGTCCCCAGATCCTGCAGAACGTCCTGAAGGGCTGCAGCGAGGACATGTTGGGCAGTCTGTCCCTCACCGCCTGCCAGTTCATGGAGGAGCCAGGGATGGCGGTGCAGGTGCTGGAGTCCAAGCACCCCTACGACAACGACACCAACTTTGAGGTACGTGGGGCCGGGTTGAAGCAGAGATGGCTAACTAAGCTACCATCCAGTCTGCTCGTCCATGATAATGTGTCGGGTAAGACCTCTTCTTTCCAAAACCAGGATAAGGTCCACATCCCTGGCGCCATATACCTGTGCATCAAGTTCGACTCACGTTGCCACACAGAGGAAGGCTGTGACGAGCTGCTGATGGCTAGCAGTTCTGACTTTGTGCAAGATCTCCACAACTTCAGCGGCTCGCCTCAGAAGTGGACTGACTTCGAGATTCCGGGTGAGCTCGCCGAACTGACACACTGCCTGTCCTCCTGAGACAGGTCACCCTTCCTCTGCTGTCATAGTACTTACCATAAGGATACCTTTAAATGCTAGCATTTTAATGGGCTCTTTGCACATCAGCTTCCACGTTCATGGAAATGCAGTTGGCTTTGGTTTATACATGCTGTTTACAGGACCTGCCCAAACCTATAATCGACGTCGCCTTTGTAAATCCTTCTCCAAAGTGCCAATGAGTAAATTAGAGAAGCGCTTTAAGATGCATGCCTCATCTTACATCCACGGATACCAAATGGAGTCTTTATTCTTTCAATTTTCTGGCTGCAGTTAGCTATAGCTTACGCTAATAAACATCACTCGCGGACTGTGATAGTGTATGCATGTGCCAACGAGGTATCTATGAATATCCCTATTCTAGCGGAGACTGTCTAACTTAATATGTTCTGTATGTGCTCAAGTACATATTGAGTTAATCTACGTTTGTGTCAGACAGAATCATGGCAACAGGAGAGGTTGCTGTGTGGGCTTTTTGCTTCAGATTCATGAAGAAGCACGACAAACCTCATAGTGTGAAAGTTGGGCAGCACCTGGTAATTTTGTCATAGTCCGAGTTCAAGCTGTTCAATGTTCAGATTTCTGTTGCATGTGCGAAATATGGCCACGTCCTATTTGGCCTCTGATATTGCTTTTGTTGTTGCATGTATTTTATGGTGCGTTCAAATGGGGTCGTGTTTACTGTGTTCACAAGATGAGCCCATTTGTATGGAGTGAATATTCTTTTTTAACTTTTTTAAATAACTAAATTTGTGCACAAATGATTACATTGTGAAATGTTGCAGTAAATAAATAATGACGTGTGCATTAATAAATATATTGTAATATTTGACAAATTATATGACATGTTAGCCTAATGGTGTTAAGAACAAAATTCTTCCTGTTAATTTTTTATTGCTAGTTTTCTTTATGTATATATTTGTTTGAATGATGCTGCACGTGGGTGTGGTGGATAGCACTGTCCCCTCACACCTCTGGACCTGGGTCCAAGTCTCCGCCATGGTTCCATGTGGGTAGGGTCTGTACCCCGTGTTGTCGTGGGCTTTCTGCCAGCCACTCCGGTTTCCCTCCACAGTCCAAAAACATGCTGCGCTTAATTGGATTTGCCGAATTGGCTATAGGTATGTGTGAAACTTAAAACTCGATTATGTTTTCGAGACGTTGGGCACTTAGGGAACAACAGTGTTCGTGGTATTGTTTTTCTGGCTTCTGAAACACAAGTTTATCCTTTCTTGCACTTGTAGTTCCTCAAAGAGGAAGCAAGTGAGACATGTTTCACGCTTCAGGATATGACGTAGCTATCTTTTTGTGCAAAGAGCCCATTAGTTTACTTAACTTGATTACGGAAACCCTCATGAGTGCTGGTGGGTTTTTAAATTTTTATTTTTTTTAAGGATCCTGAGCTGATTTCTGTGACTTACTGGGGGAAAAAATAAACGGTTTGTCTGTTTGCTGTTCCCACAGGTGACACACTCTACTATAGGTTCATATCCGACATGAGCAACACCGAGTGGGGATACAGGTTCACCGTCACTGGAGGCCACCGGGGCAGATTCCAGACAGGTATTATAATGGTGTTCCATGTCATTTGGGCAGATTCCAGACAGGTATTATAATGGTGTTCCATGTCATTTGGGCAGATTCCAGACAGGTATTATAATGGTGTTCCATGTCATTTGTG